TGCAGCGCAGTCCAGATGGCCTCCCTGGGGACTGTCAAGCCCCGCCTTCGCTCCCACCCCCATGGAGCCGGCCGCGCGGCGGGGAGGGGCAGCAGCGGCGGTTCCTCAGTGTCGTCCCGCCTGCGCCCCTCCCCTGTAATTCCTAACGCCCATAGCACCCCTCCTAGTGGGAGCAGTCGATGCTTCCCTCTGCGGACCGGCTTCCCCGAGTGGGGCTGTGGGGCTGCGGGCCGGTTTGTGGGGAAGCAGGTGTGGGCAGGGGCCGCGGTGACGCTGGAGGGGATGGGGACATTATAGTTTATGAACCTGCGGGCAACGCCGCCACTCACGCCCGGCTCCTGTCCAGCCGCCGCTGTAACACCAGAGGGAAATGAGGTTTGCGAGCTCAGCACGCGCGGCAGCGCAATGGGCTGCCTTTGGCCTTGGGGAAAAGCATGACTTTGAAAAATTGAGTCTCTTCTCTTTTCAAGCGCCGTTCCTTGTCCAGGTAGCTTTCAGCAGTCATGGGTGGTGGTTTGGATGGCTGTGGTGGAGGGCAGCGACATCAGCGGGAGATGATGGGCACAGGGTCTGTGGCACTCTGGCACACTCTACCTGCCCAGGCGCCTGAGCCCTCCACCCACCTCTTCCTTCTTGGATCCTGTTGCCCAGTGCAGCTTATCCCTACCATTTCCAATCTTGCTCAGACCACCCCCTGACAGTGTCCTCCCACCAGGGCCCACTCTCCCAGAGTTAATCTTCCCCAGCAGGCCTGACTAGCAGGCTTAGCCCCTGCCCCCAAACTGCTGTGATGCTCCATTGCCTCCAAACTAAGTCCCAACACCTCAGCTGCCCATGGCAGCCCCTGCCTGTTCACCAGTCCCTGTCCTCCCTCCCCTCCCAGCCCAGATAGGGGACAGGAGGTGCAGTAGTCCCTCCCCCAGGTGCTGTCCCTACCAGACAGTGTGATGCAGTAGCAGAGTGTGGCGGTGCCCAGCTGAGTGACTGTCAAGGCAGGCAATGGCATCCCCCATGAGGTGGGGCTTGGCCAGTAGCAGAGGGTGTCACTGTTTGTGGGACAGACTGTCAGAACCAGAGAGGTTTCAGAGACCCTAGTGAGAAAACAGTCCTTGAGGAGCAGACAACTTTCCCCACACTACCCTCCACCTGCCTCCTAACCCTTTCCTGCTGAGGACCCTGCAGGACTGAGCAGCCCACTGGGAGGAGCCAGACCCTTTGGGGAGCCCCCATGAGAAACTTTGTGTGGGGCCCCCAGCACACAGTGTGGAGATTCTGTTTTCTGGACCTCTAAGTGTACACAGGACAGGACTCAACCCATTCCCCAGTCCCTATAGCATTGTCACAGATCATTAATTCTGGGTTGAGATCTCTCCTATTCCCAGGAAGCCTCACCGGCCTCCCTGACCCTGGCTAGACAGCCTGCAGAGGGTTGGAAACCAGCTCCAAGGACACCTTGGGGACTCCCTCATTACCTCCCCCGCCCCAGATGTGCACCCTGTGAAACCACTGCTCTGGGAGCTCTGGGCTATTTGCATACCTAATGCCAGTCTAGGAGTGACCCTCTCTTCATGTATGCTACCCTCTCTGGTGGTCTCAGAATGTGCACAGCCCACAGCCACTGGCCGGGTGGGTCTGCCTTTGGAAGAAGGAACTGAAGTCCAGAGGGCCCTGGCCAGCCAGGTTCTAGCTTTTTCCACCAACACCCTGTTTGCAGACTGAGGCGGGCAGACTCAGCCCTGCCCTGCTGTGACAAGGAGGGCACCAAACTGGTCCTGGTGCTCCCCTGGCCCACCTTCTTGGGAGCCATTTCCTTTGGTGCCCTTAGTTGTCCCAGACCAAGCCCAGCAAGTTCCCAGCGATTCCTGTCCTGCTCCTAAGGCTCTGGACAGTGTCATCTCTCTGTGGCCCCCAGGCCAGCTGTTTGTGGCTGGTGAGGGGCCAGCCTAGCCAAAGAGGTGGGCCAGAGGGTGAGGAGAGCTGGCACTGCCAAGGGGGCTCCCCTACTCATGAGGACCCCTGAGGAAAGGCAAAGCTGGGTGGGCATCAGGCAGTTGGGAGCACAGCTGAAGGCCTGGGTTGGGGGGCCTTTGGAGGGTCTCACAGGGTCATGCTGTGTGCCCCAGGCTGCCCAGAGGAGAACGCTGTCCCACCCAGAGACATAGGCCATGCGGGGCTCCTGGGAGCTGCTTCTGGTATGGCTTCTGGTGCTAGCAGTGGGTGGCACCGATCACGTCTACCGACCAGGGTGAGCCAGGGCAAGGGCCTCTGGGTGCTGGGGGTGGAGTGGGGCCAGAATCCCCCAGCCCTCCCCCCACCAAGGCAGCCCCTAATACTTGAGAGGTTCTCCATGGGCTCCTGCTGAGAGTCAGGCCCCTTCCTCATATCAGCTCCCTTGGGTTCCATGGCTGGGAGGGTCCTGGCTCTGGGACTCCCTGGCTGACTGCCACCCACCCTCCAGCCGCAGGGTGTGTGCTATTAGGACTCCCCAGGGCCCTGTCTCTGAGTCCTTCGTGCAGCGTGTATACCAGCCCTTCCTCACTACCTGTGACGGGTACCGTGCCTGCAGCACCTACCGGTGGGTGTCCCCACAGCCAACCTTGACCAGGGCCAGTCTCCCAAAATGCCACATCTGCCATACATTAGACTGCCTGGTAGTGGTGAGCCCTGGGCCCCTAGATGGGAGACTGAGGCCAGAGTGGTGAGAAGACTTGCTAAAATGGACGTCCCAGCCTGACCTCTCTTCATGGCTGCGTTCTGAGATGTCACATAATCACCTCCAACACTGGTCTGCATTTCAGAACCCTGACATCGTCTCAAAGGGCATACCCATGTTTCAAGGCTCACCCATCCTGCCTGCACCCCTCCATTTTTAGGGTGCCTAACTTTCCCTCCCCTGGCATCACTGACTGCCAAGTTCTTAGTCACCTGGGATGATGCCTGACCCCCTAGAAACTGCCTGTCATTCCAACAGCACAGATGGAGACCCTGAGTTGTGCAATCCTGCTCTCTTGAGGGGGTACTAGTTCTCAGCCTTGGGGTGGTGTCCTTGTTCCTGGGTGTGGGACATTCCATCTTCTCCCACAGCCCAGAAACGCTTGGGAAGGGGGGAAGGTACAAGCCTGGATTCCTGAGCTCCCCATGCCCCACCTGCCCTGCTGGGGGAATCCGGATTTCAGGACCTCAGAGGAGCCCAGCTCCTCAGTGCCCTTAGCCTCCAGAGCCCAGAAGCAGCAGCTGACTCTGGAGCGGCCCAGGCAGGCCCACCTGCTAGCTCCTAAGCTGGAGGGTTGCAGTGGGTCTCTCGTAGTCCCTGGTACTACCCTGCTCCCTATCAGCCATGGCTGGGGCTTCCTACCATCCCTCCAGGTCCTGCTCAGCACCTGAGTGGGCAAATGGCTGGTCTACTGATCCTGGTACCATCCCTCAGGGAGAGGACTTCTGGGGACACATTGGGGTGAACTTGCTTGCTCAGAGATGGCTCCAAGTGCAGGAGGCGGCAGATGGGAAGGGTGTAGTACCCCTCTGACCTACCTACTCACCCCACAGAACCATCTACAGGACCGCCTACCGCCACAGTCCAGGGCTGGCCCCCGCCAGGCCACGCTATGCCTGCTGCCCCGGCTGGAAGAGGACCAGGGGGCTCCCAGGGGCCTGCGGAGCAGGTGAGGGCAGCAGCCCTGCAAAACCCAGCCTTAGCTAAGAGGGCAAATACTCCCAGACCTCCAGTCCACTCCTGCCTTACTCAGTAACTTTGAGCAAAGCACATCCTACTGGCTGCTGCCCACCCCCAACAGAACACTGGCCTCCCCCACCCACAGCAGTATGCCAGCCACCATGCCAGAATGGAGGGAGCTGTGTCCAGCCAGGCCGCTGTCGCTGCCCTGCAGGATGGCAGGGTGACACCTGCCAGTCAGGTGAGGTTGCCTCTGCCCTCTGGGGAGGCCCTGGGAAAAGTCTTCTGGTCACCCACTTGTACATCCTGGGGTCACTGCTGGCCAAACAGTGGCCTTTTAATAGGTGTGCTTCAGGGGGCTCAGTGTGGGTGGGACCCCCACCTCCTGCATCTAACCCGCTTTCTACAGATGTGGACGAATGCAGTACTGGAGGGGACAGCTGCCCCCAGCACTGTGTCAACACGGAGGGCAGCTACCGGTGCCAGGGCTGGGAGGGGCACAGCCCAGCTGCTGATGGTACGCTCTGCCTACCCAAGGGAGGGCCCCCCAGGGAGGCCCCAAACCTGACAGGTAACCTCGCCCCGCTTGCTGCCGTGCCTGGCTTGAGGAGTGGGCAGAGAAGTGTGTGGCACCCTGTGGCTCTGTAGGGGGATAGGAGTGCACAAGGCTGCAGGGGGTGAGCCATGCCTACATGCGGGTGGAGGGCAGGTGGGGCTCCTTCCCCAGTAGGGCTCCTTGAGGGTTCAGGGGAAAGCAGCCCAGGGGCTTCATCTCTGCCAACAAAGTGGAAGGCTTTATCCCGGGTCCCGTCTGTGTCCCAAACGACAGCCTAGAAGACACTGCACCTCCGCTGGTGACGGGACATTATTACTTTTGGTACGCGCTGTGACACTTCAAACTCGTACCGTGAGTAATAATGCGCTGTCCACAGCCCAACACCAGGAGCACACGCAGCTCAGAACTCAGCCTGAACCACCTGCAGCACAACCGCGATCCCAGCACTTGGGGACAGGCAGGGGGGGCTGTGTCTGCCCTGAGCCACACAGCACAATGTCCTGGGGAGACAGGGCCTCAAGAGCTCCAGGCCAGCTCCTGGTGCACAGTGGGGTCCACCACAGGAGCAAGGCTGAGTCTCCTGGGCTCTGCCCTTATGGCTGGAGCCTTGGCCATGGACAATCCCTCCAGAGTAGAGGCCAGCCCCAGGGTATGGGGCAGGGTGGCAGCTGCCCTGACTCAGGGTCTGGCTTTGCCCCCAGGAGTGGACAGTGCAGTGAAGGAGGAAATGCAGCGGCTGCAGTCAAGGGTGGACGTACTGGAGGAGGTGAGGTGGGGGTGCAGGGCCTTGCCAGCCCTGTGGCAGCCAGGTCTTTGAGGCCCACCAATTTCCATGGTGCCTAGGACATAGCTGGTGGGACTTACTGGGGGTCACCTGTAGAGACCTTGACCCCAGGGAGGTTTCCTTGTTGCTGATGGCCCAGGCGGCCATGGCCTGGACTCCACACTGGGCATGGGCAGCTGGACACTGACTGGGACCCCCAGGACAGAAGCCAAGCCTGGCCTCCTGCAGACCACATGGACAGCCTACACCTAGATCCAGGGTTCCCTGTTCCCACTTCTGTCTACACAAAGTGCTCTTGCCCATCTTCCCACAGGCTGTGGCCTGGCAACCCCTCAGAAGCTCCCTTCTGTCCTTCCTGGTTCCCCTACTAGGGCCCCCAGGCTGGGCCTTCAGATGTGGCAGCCCCTCTAGTGGACACCAAGAGCCCCACAGTCAAGCCCCTTGCTAGCACTGGTTAAACTCTCCCTGAACAGAGAAGGTGTTGCTGGCCACAGCCACAATGCCTTCTGCACTCCACTAGAGGCTGCAATTGCTCCTGGCACCACTGCACAGCCTGGCCTTGCAGGCGCTGGCACTTGGGCTCCCGGATCCAGAAAGCCTCCTGGCGCACTCTCTCCAGCAGCTGGGCCGCATTGACTCTCTGAGCGAGCAGATCTCCTTTCTTGAGGAGCAGCTGGGGTCCTGTGAGTGCTTGAGACCCTGGTGGGGCAGGGTGGCCATAGGCCCAGAGGGCTGGAAGGCTGCCAGTACTGTGACCTCTGACCGCAGCCCATCCATCTGACCCTAGGCTCCTGCAAGGAGGGGTCATGACTGGCCTGGCCAAGGCCTGTCTCCTGATCCAGGCTGGATGGGGTTGCCTGCCCTGGCAGTGACAGAAGAAAGCTGGGAAGGGCCCTCTCCTCTACCCTCACTCAGGAGGCCTCCTGCCAACTGGGGTACAGGGTGGGGCTAGAGGGTCTTCTGTGCAAATCCACCCTGGCAACCCCAGTATCCCAGGGTCCTGGGTGGCAGAGAGAAGGTACGAGGCTCCCTGCACAGAGCCAGGGACTGCTGGCAGTCACTGGGTAGCCTATCTGGAGGCAGGGGTGGGGGGTCAGGTGGGGCCTCTGCCCTGGTTTTATCAGAATAAAAGTGAGGCTTGAGTTGCTGTGTCAGTGAATAGATTGGGTGCCCAAGAGAGAAGCTCCCTCCATCCTGTGCTGGGGACAGTACTTTCCTGGCCACCCCAACCAGGCCCACTACCAGGTGCAGGCTGGCAAGTGGGAGCAGGGCAGAGCCCAGGGGCACCTCAGGACCTGGGTCCCCCATCTCCAAGGGCAGCCAGAGCAGGTGGAGTTTGAGAGGCCACAGAGAGGCAGTGGATCCTGGTGCTAAGTTAGCCATAAGCAAAGCCCAACGGGCAAATCTTTAGCCTCCTCCACCTTCCTGCCACTCTGCCTGCCTCTGCCCACTGTACTGCAGAGGGGCAGTGGGTCCGCCTTGGAGGTGGGAGCACTGTGGGAGGGGTGGGGGGTACTTGCACCTGGGCCCCTGGGGGCAGCTCACCCTAACGGTGGAGTCGGAGAGGGATAGCCTAGAAGACAAACGCCCCTAGACAGAGGCCTAAGGCAGCCCCTGCCCAGCCCAAGTGACCACAGCTTACAGGTACTTCCAAGAATTCCTTTATAAAAAAGTGAGTGCAATACTGACTCTGCAGTGTCCCGGAGGCTGGCGGAAGCAAAAGATCCCACTTTCCAGCTCCCTGTGATCCAGGGTGCATATGACTAGGAGTCCCAGCCCCTTGAGCCCCTGCCTCTCCCTGAGGGCCTGATGCAGGCCACAGCCTGGACTCTTGAGCCTGACTTGGCCCCTGCCTGGCCCTAGGCACCTGGGCTGGCATGAGGGGGCACCGAACTGGGGCCGACCTGCCTGGTCCTGGGCTGTCTTGAGCCCCTACTCAACCCACCTGCAAGCCACAGCCTCAGGCCTGGTTTTGCATCATCCCAGACCCTGGAGGCACACGGTGGGCAAGTCTCTGCCCTCAGAGCCCAGGGAGGATCTGGCTGACTCTCCTGGAGGGGAATCAAGGGCCTGAATCTGGGGTCAGTGGCAGAAGGGGCTTCGGGCTTCCAGGGCCTAAATGAAAGCCGGGGGAGCCGGGGGGAGCTGGACACAGTGATATTTGGCAGCCTGAGCAAAGGTCCCTCTTGTCCATGCTCCAGCTGTTTTCCTCCCACCTGCCCTCCCCCAGGTCCTGCCATGCCCCATGGCCCAGGCTACTGGGCTGGCTGGACCCCAGGCTCTGTAGTTGCCCCATTCTCCTGGGGCATCTTGGATATGTGGAAGAAGGTGCTCCTCATGGCTTGGTGGCAGGTATCCACAAGCTTGGGGACGTCATCCTTGGTGAGACCGCTGGTGGGGATGGCATCCAGCACTTGCACAGTGACTGTCCCTGTGGTGGGGGCAGCAGGTGTCAGCAGCCTGGGGAAGGGTCTTGCTGCCCCTTCCCCCCAAAGCTGATGCTGGCCTTCCACCTTCCTTTTAACAGACGCAATACTGACACAGTGAGGGCAGCTCTTGGCATGTGCTCCATGGGTGTGACAACTCCATACCCCCTGTAACCACTACCCACCACACTACCCTGTTCCCCCAGAACACTCCTTTGACTAGGCCCCTCACTGCTCCGCCCCCACCCGTGTCCCTCCATCCTCCATGGAGGTTAGGGGATGTGGGGTCTTAGATGAAAAAACTTGACTCCTCCCCACTGTCCTTCAACATTTGACCCCACCTTCTCATGAGAGGCCAGGGTACCATGTTTGGAGTGTGGTGTCAGGATAGAAGGGGCAGAGGCCCTAAGCTCTCTGGGCAGTTCAGGTGGACCTGGCAGGCTACTAGCCTTGGACTGCGTGGTTCCATCTGCCCCGCAGGAGAAGCCAGATGCATGGGCTCATTACCTGCCCTGAGCACAGGGAGAGGCTGCCTTGTGTCCCCTGAGCCATGTGCATAGCCTGGGTCCATCAGTGTAAACTTGGGCACCCAGCCCACCTCACAGGGCCACTTGCGGGGGTAGGGAGGGAGAATGACATGAAGCGATGACAGCTCACTGCTGGGACTCCACACTGGTTTGTTCTTTCATTCACCAAATGCCTGCAAACAGCCACCCAGACGTGGGAACTACTCTGTCAGGGGCCCAGGAACCCTGTAACTGTGCCTAGGTGTGCACACGAGGGGTACCTGAGGTGAAGAGCTTCGTCCTGGTGTTGTAGAAGGAGGAGAAGGAGGAGTACACCACAGGGATGATGGGCACCTGTGGACAGGAGACCCCAGGCCGAGCTCAGGCCCTGCCTGGCCACCCGCCCTCTCCCACCTGGGCTGGGTCCAGCAGTCCTGCAGCTGTCCTGTCCCCGGGCCTGGGACACCTGCACATGTGCCCTGGGCAGCCTACCCTGCCTGAGTTGGCGCATGTGTTTGTCAGATTCATGTCTATCCCTATACTGGGTCATTAAATTAGCTGTGAGGAGGGCAGGATCGTGTCTAGTTTAGCTAGGGGACGTCACCAAGGTCTTCCCTGCCCAGCCTTCCCTTCCTGTCCTCTCCCCCATCCCCAGGGGCTGGGAGGTACTCTGGCCCAGGGAGAGGGTGAAGCCTACTGGTGTTGCTGCCACGCAGCAGGGTCAGATCTAGTGGTGACAGGCACCTGAAGCTAATCATTAAACAGGGCAGTCAGGAAACCTCTAGGGCACCAGCCAGAAGGCTGAGACCATCAGGCCCAGGGAGTGAGGGGGAGGGGATGGGGAGCCTGTCTGCTAGCAGAGGCCTTCTGCCTGTGTCTCCTCCCTCAGCACCTACGAACCTAACCCTTCTCCCTCCTAGGGAGGTGATATCAACCCCAGGCTCAGCAGGAGTGCCCTGCACCTTGCATCCCAGGGCCCCAGAGAGCAGAGGATGGTTGCTGGGTGGAGCTGGCCGGAGCCTCCAGAATGAGGACTCCCCGGAGCCTGCACAGGCACCAGGGTGTACTAGAGCCCACCCCTACCCTGAGGCCCAACCCCAGACCATGGCTTTCCCCTGGCACAACTTTTCCCAGCACAGCAGCAAGGGTGGGCTGGCACTGGACACCCACCAGGACCTTGATCTGTGGATGGACACACCCCACCTTTCCTGGCATCACCCCCTGACACCCCAGAACAAGCTGCACCCCTGGATGCCAAGGACAAATCCCAAGTGCAGAGGTGGAGCTCACTGCTTCCTCCACCCAGGCCCAGCCCTGCCCCATGTGGAGAGCACTGCTTGTCCAGACCCCTATTCGTGGGAGCTGTGGGGAAACTGAGGGAGCAGCATGACCCTCAGACACAGTGAAGCCCATGGGCCAGCAGGCCACCACAGCAGCCTCCTGTCCTCCCCTCATACACTCTAACCTCAAGCAGGTCAGAGAGTGGGGGCTAGAGCCCAAGTGCAGCCAGTTGGCCCCAGGCCTCAGAGTAGGGGAAGGAGGGACTTGGCAGGTCAGGGGACCAGGTGCTGCTAGAGAGCCTGCCCCACTCAGTGGAAAGCCCCCGAGTGCCAGAAGCCCCCAGCCAGGCTGGGCAGTTGCCTTCAGCCAATCCACACTGGCTTCCCTATCCCCTGCCCACCTCAGGAGGGCAAGGCCCTGACCTACCTGGGCCTGGATGGCCAGGTAGAAGGCGCCTTTCTTAAAAGGCAGTAGGTCCCCATTGTCATTACGCGTGCCCTCGGGGTAGATCCACACTTTGAGCTGGGAAGAGAAAGGGGCAGTGGAGCTGGCTGCTCCCTGGGGACCCTAGGGTCACCCCAGGGAGGTCACACTCCCTTCCCTCTCCCCTGACCCCAGGTCCTGAGCAACCCCAGCAGCTGACAGCCTAGGGCCCAACGCTGGTGCAACCCTTTTGTGTGTAAATCTGCAGACTCCAGATCAATGCTGGGGGAGGGAGTTGTTTTTCTTCCAAAACAAAGTCACCCCTGGGCCCAGGCCCTAGCCCAGGTCCCAGCACTCACGTTTTCCTTGACCATGCGCTGGCCCACATCCGCCATCACGGACACAGCGGTGCTGGAGCGCTGCCGGTTGATGAATAGGACGCCCCCAAGGTACATGATGAGGCCCACAGGGCCCAGGAAAAGCAGCTCCTGCTTGGCAATCTGCACACAGCGCTTGGGGAGGACCTCCATGAGGCCTATGCCAGCACAAGGAGATGGGAATGGGCTCTGCGCAGGCTGCCACTGGCATGGCAGGAACCCACCTCCCACTGGCACCTAAGGGGGTGGGGGAACAGAAGCATGGCCATGCTCTGTGTTCCTAGCACCCAGCTCGGAGAGGCCCTCAGTGGGAGGGAGGCGTGGGTCCCCACCTGTACCAGTGCCCACCCCCACCAGACACTCCAGGCCTGGCCTACCCATCATGTCCAGGATGCTCTGGTGGTTAGAAATGATGACACAGGGGTGGTCCACCTCCAGCTTCTGCTGCCCCTTCACCTCAAAGCGAACACCGTACACGTACTTGAAGGATCGCACAAACCAGCTGATGATGCTGAAGAGCGAGGGTGACAGTGTACTGAGGTCCCGAGGCCTGAGGCCCCAGGAGCTGGCCCCACAGCACAGGACAGGAGACCACAGGACACATGGTAGAAATTACCTTCAGAAGACAGAGCCCCGAGGACCCATGTCACCCACCCTCGGGCTGCTGCCCTGCCTCAGCCTCCCCAGCTATCAGGGAAGACATAAAGGGAGGTGCACATTCCTATGTCCACATCCCAGGGCCTGCCTGGCCCTCACCCCACACCCCTACATGCTCAGCCCTCCCAGAATGGTGTACTGGGCAGCCACATGGGGGACCTGGCTGGAGGCGCCTGGGGCATTGAAGGCCTTGACCCAGGGAGAGAGTGATCCCTGCACCTCTGCAGAGGCTGAGCCCACCCACAGAAGGGAGTGACCATCCCCTTGAGATAGAGTCCCATCAGGAAGAAAGCATCAATGCTAAGTGGAGGCCTTTGCAAGGAGCAAAGTTTGTTTCTGCCATCAGTGGGACTCACCTTGGCTAGAGCCCCAGAGGCACTGTTGCATGCCTCCTGCCCCCCCGCCCCCCGCCGAAAGTGGTTCCAGGCTCTCTTTTCATGAAGCAGGCTGGGGAGGGCTGGGGACTTGCTCATGACCACGCTGAGAACAGAAGCAGAGCTGGGCCCCCCTCGGGTCCCAGCAAGGTGAGCCCCTACATCCCAGCAGCCCCCATTCCTAGCAGGTAGCCAGTCATGCTGGGGGCTGCCCTGGGGCACCTGCAAACTTGAGGTGGCCTGGTCTAAGCAGCCCGTGATAGTTGGGACCAGGTATGTCCAAGGGGCATCTTAAATCTCTGCACCCAGCCCCAATCACCCCAGGACATTTCCACAGCACTGGCCAGGCCAGAGGAGCACAGGGATAAAGGGTGGCCTCTGCCCCATCATTCTACCAGGGCACCTGCCTATGAGGGGCCTGCCTATGGGGTGACAGAGCCTGATTCAGGGCTCCTGGGTCCCTCCTGTCCCCTGCAGATGGTGGAGGGAGGGGCACAGATATGCCCAACATGACCCTGATGCATTCTGCAAACAAATTAGTATATCCCCCCCAACCTCCCTCCCCACCACAGGGCAAGGAAGATTCCCCCTTTTTATGTAAAGGCTAAGTCACTATGCAATGTCCCAGAGCTATCTCCAAAGAGCACAGCATTTCAAACCTCGACCCTTAACCCAAAACTAGACTGTTATTTTGGTGTTGTTAAGACATAAAATTCATCATCTCCAATAGTTTGGGTGGTTTTTTTTGTTTTTGTTTTTTGAGACAGTCTCACTCTGTCCCCCAGGCTAGAGCACCATGGCATCACCCTAGCTCACAGAAACCTCAGACTCTTGAGCTCAAGGGATCCTCCTGCCTCAGCCCCTTAGAGTGCTGGGACCACAGGCATAAGCCTCTGTGCCCAGCCTTTCTTCACCACTTTTTTTTTTTTTTTTTGAGACAGAGCCTCAAGCTGTCCCCCTGGGTAGAGTGCCATGGCTTCACTGCTCACAGCAACCTCCAACTCCTGGGC